AAGCAGGGAGAGCCCACAGAGGGGGATATGCTGATATTGTGCAGACTAATCAAAAGCTCCCTGAGATCAACAGTACTTTTTCCCACTAACTTCAGAGGGTTTTGAATGAAAGCCAAAGAGCGCAAAGTGAAGTTATTGCTCATCTACGTTGTCTTATGTCTTTGTGTTTCTGTTCAATTGCATTTACAACATCAGACTTGGCCATGTATGAGCACATTATACTTGGCTCACAAGAATTCATGAAATTAAATAATGCATGACCAAAATGTGGCTTTGCAAAGTTACGTCTAAAGTTTTCACATGGGTTGTATTTAACATATATGGTCACAGTTAATGCATCCTCATAATAGGGAGTAAAAGGATTTTTTTTTCTAGAAAGATTCACAATGGAATAGCTCACATCTTCCAAGATGCATCAGAAGACAAAATACAACTTGATTTGAATAGATGCACATTTACAAGACTTATGGCACACATTTTAAATATGTGATCAACTAAAAATGTTCTACAACTGAAAAACACATAAACACCTTTTAGTTAGTGTGGAAAATGTGTACCCAAATCCCTAAATTTAGAAAAAAATATGATGCTTTGTGAGAAATATATATATATGAAAAATGCACAAAAATTTCCATGCAGGAAGAAAATATAAAGTCTCATGAACTGATATCAAAAAGAATGGGACAAAAAGGCAGGTGATATTCAGAGAAATGCCATGAAATTCAGTTGAAGGGTTTTTCACATCCCCCCTTACAATACATGCATTCATAAAAGGATTCCATTTATGATGTAGAATGTCTTAGAAGTAAGTGATCTGCTGAATATAATGCAACATATATTAATTTGTCAGCTGGGTCCAGAATGGAAAAAGTGTCAGATATGAGAAATCTGTTTAAAAGGGGAGAAAAGGCTGGAGGTAATCAAATAGAATAGGCTCAAGTCCAAGATGGAAGCAAGAAACATGAATAGAGACTTGGCTGATGCAACAAAAATGACAGACTGAAAGAGAGCAAGTGAAAAGAAATTGGCCAGTAGCTAATAGCAAAAGAGAATTGGCAAGTGGGAACCATGAACCTTAGTTTGTCTTACACATTCAGCGGAATTCACATATCAAATGTTGTATCCCATGGAAGTTTTCCTGGCAGGAAGACTTAGTCCAAGGACGTTATCACACGGGGTCTAAAGCAGTACCATCCCCGGCGCATTGCGGCATCATGCCGGATCCTTTGCCTCTCTGTTCACACGACGTCACAGCAAACCCCGCCCCATCCAGTGCCATCCCC